TCTGCCTCCCTGAACTTTTCCCAACGATCCAAACCCTCGCTTGCATCGATTGATAACGTCTCGTACCCCTGTTTGATGACGGCGCTGACTTCTTGCGGGCTAAGATGCTTGGACCGCGCTTTTCCATTGCTCTCCAGCAAAGATTGGTAATGCGAAGACACATTAATGAGCGTCTGCATGGAGTCCGATTGGCCTGATAACCCGAAAGTGTCCCGGAACTTGATCAGTGTGTCGCCGCTTTCCACGAGCTTGTAGAATAAGTCGTCGTATGATGCAGGATCTGGCAGGAAGTTCTCTCCACTAGAAAGCGCAAAGGCCAGCAGATTGACAAGTATGTTGATCATTCCGTTTGATTTGTAGTTGGACTTGATGTCGCTTTCGTAGGTGGTGAGGAAGCGGACGAAGGAGAGTAGGGTCCGCCACAACTCCGACCAATGGTATGTGATGCGTGTCTTGGTTCGACTGAGATGCGAAAGGAGACGTAACAGAACGCCGAGGCAGAGTCTGGGAGTGAATCAGCGAGGCATGTGCCATATTAGGACTGAGACTCACATGTAGAAGTCAACGTCTAACCGCCTCCGCAGATTATGGCTGATGGCGTCAGACATCATATCTAGAATGACAGCTGCAGGGACACGGTCGCCCCTTACTGCCGGCAGGTAGGGCTGTCTCTGACGGCACAAGCGCACCGAGAGCTTTGACTCGTCACTGCATAGGCGTTTGGCGAGCTCTCGGTCTTCGACAAGTATCTGCAGCACGAAGAGGCTGAGGTATGTGTATAGTGCTGCCCTGGTAGACCGATGCGCGTGTTGGAACATGTAGGACGTCAAGGAAAGGTATGCGCTTAGTGGCGACGGTTCGCTCTTGTCCGCTGGAGCTGACTTGACTAGGTTGAAGCAGAAGACTTTGTTGGCGTTGGCGAAGTCGTACGTGGAGAGGAGGACGCCAATCTCTGGCCCTGGTCTTGTATATGTTAGCCAGAGCAGTGACTGCGACCCTGAGTGCTTACAGTGCAGCGAAGAGCGACTTTGCGTCATCCGGAGCCGGGACAGGTGTCGTTGGGCGGGAACTGGGAGCAAGAGCACCCAGGCCAATATAACTCAGCGTTGAGCCCAATGACCAGCCTTCGGGCATATCGTCCTGTACAGCTACATAGGCGTCCCGCAGCTTTGTACATGTATTCCCAAAACAAGCGACCATATCCTGTATGATAGCATCGTTGACAAAGTCGTCTAGCCGCAGTCTATACGGGTTCTGGAATTCGAATTTGTTGTAGTTCGTGAGGAGACCGAGGAGGTAGAGCGCGGGGAGAACTTGGGTGCTGTTGTCGCAATCTTGGATGTACTTCATGAGCGAGGGAAAAAGATCGCGATGAGTAAAGTAGCTCGGAAGCGCAGTCTGAAAGCCCGCAGCCGTTATCGAAAGAGCCGCTCTCACAGCCCTCAGGCGCAAAGGAACTGCTCTTGGTCAGCCCATCCCTCTACAACATCCACCCTATACATACTATCCCTTCCCCCCCGTATCGCCGTATCCAGCGTCGCAACAAAATCCGTCATAACCGCATCCGCATCATTCAGCCCCGTAAGAACAGCTATGATATCAGAGCTAGGATTCGTGTACTTCTTCGTGAGTGCGGCATCGAGAAAGACTGTCAAGGTCTAAGCGGTAAGCGCATGGAGAAGAGAAGGTGTGCGTGCGTGCGTGGGTGGCATGGGTACCTCGAGGGCGATTTCGTCGGCGGGCGCGCTGGCTTGCTTGACGCGGAGGATGGCCTGACTGAAGAGTGCCTGCGAATGCGCTTGCTGGTGCAACATCTCGTCCGGCGTTACCGAACTGAGTATGCGCTGAAGGCCGGTGGGATCGGGGCGGTGGAGGAAGAATTCTTGCCAGAAGCCCGCGGATAGCTCGATGTCTTCGTCGTCTTCCTGCGGATGGTTAGCACTTGGTTGGCGCAAAATGGGTGGAGATGGAGAGGACGCACTTTGAAGAGGGTTTCGTAGAGGGAGATTATCTTGGGTTGGAAGATTTCCGGTCGCGTGTCCTGCGTCAGCGGTGACGGCTCCATGGTTGTGCGTGCGAGGGACTTTGGGGAATTTATCGTGGGTGATGCAGGGCTTCAGATGGTGGCAGTCGCAGGCGCGTCGCGCAGCATGGGGAACTAGCGGGCCGGTGGGCGATCAGACGCCGACAGCCCCACCATTCACACGTGTGAAGGTAGGCATGTCGTGTGAAGGGGGGTTACTAGACAATATCTACTCGAATTATTCTTATTATTGTGAGCCGTCAATACATCCCAAAGGAAGGCGCAACCAGACCACCGGTACCCCGCGTCCATCCAACCCTCCAACCCCCCAACCACGATGCCACAACCCCTCCTAGTCGGCATCTCAGGCCCCTCCTCCTCGGGCAAAACAACCCTCTCCCGCCTCCTCCGCGACATCTTCCCCTCCTCCAAACTCTTCATCCTGCACCTCGACGACTTCTACCTCACCGACGCCGACATCCCCGTCAAGAACTCTGTCCAGGACTGGGATTGCATAGAGTCGCTCAACCTACCTGCGCTCAAACAAGCACTGCAGTACATCAAAGAACATGGTAAGAGCCCAGAGTGGCTCGTCAGCCAGGAAGACCAGAACAGTGTGGGCGACCATGGTGTACCTGAGGCTGAGATCAAGAGGTTGAAAGATGAGGTATCCGGGTGGCTGAGGAGTAAGCCTGAGTGGGAAGAGCGACGGATATGTATTGTGGATGGGTTTTTGCTGTTTTCGGAGGATATGAAGGATATCCGTGAGATCTTTGATGTTAGACTCTTTTTAAGGACGAGCTATGAGACTGCGAAGCGGAGGAGGGAGGCGAGGAGTGGTTATGTGACGCTTGAGGGCTTCTGGCAAGATCCGCCGGGTTATGTAGATGATATTGTGTGGCCGAATTATGTCAAGGACCACAAGTTCTTGTTCAGGGATGGGGATGTGGATGGAGAGTTGGATGAGAGGGTTTGCGAGAGCGTTGGCATACATGGCATGCCGAGAGAAGCGGAGGGCGATATGACGAGGTGTTTGCATTGGGCTGCTGGGTTGCTGGGGGACGTCATCAAGAAGACATGAGCAGTTTTCGAGTCTGTATTATTATATTTGTATCCATATCGCCTTGGAGCTTGACAACGCAAGAACTGCATACCCCCGATACCGTACCCAATTGTTACTACTCAAGAACGCCTATGCGCCATTAGACAATGCCCTAACCCACCAGCCATGCAGAAGTGATGATACACAAATGTCAAAGCGAAACGGCCGATTGATCAAATCTTGAAGCCGCCACCTTCCTAGGTGCTGGACTTGACCTTGTCGATGTAGGCCTGTCCCGGGCTCTCGTAGGTAGGCACAAAGAAAGTGTTGATCTGCGCTTCCTTGGAGAGCCATGTCGTCATCTGGCTAAGCTCCTCGCGCAAGCGAGTGACAGCCTGGTGGTCCATGTTGGTTTGCGCGATGAGTTCGGGCATGGTAACTGTCAAGACCTTATTAGCAATTTTCACATCTAATAACTCATATGTGCATACCCAGAAGACGCAGAAGATGCTCGCCGCCATAGATGTCAGCCAGCGGCTTTGCCGCAAGATCATCCGTCGGCGAATTGATGCGCGTCCAGATGTCGTAGAACTGTTCGCGCTCAAACCGGTACAGGAGAAGACGTCCGACGCTCTTATTGAAGTACTCCTTCAGTCCAGCTATGACTTCCTCGAGAATGTCCTGCTCGATGCTGGTGCGGTTGCTGTTGTCTTTGACGTGCTTCATGTACTCATCCAGTATGACGCCTGCAGGGTAAGCTGAAGGCAGCTGAACCAATTGCAGGTTCTTAGTGATGTTCTCCCAGTCGTCGACTAGGAGACTCTTTAGCCTGTCTGGCATGTAGATCCTGACAGCCAGTTTGTTCTGGAATGCTTCTTCCTAAGGGGAGTTAGGGAGTGCGCTGCTAAGCGTGGTGCGAATTGCTTTGATACACACCTTCTCCAAGTCATTGTCGCGCACCCTCTTCTGACCGCGTGGTGCAGCAGTGACGGAGGTTTGGCGCTCTTCGCTACCGCGCGCCGAACCTTGAGCCTTCTTTTTCGCAGGTGCGGGTTGAGCTCTTGCGGCACGCTGGGCTGCCAGCATCTCGTGCCTGAGGTTATTGGCCAACTCTCGGTTCTCGGGAGACAGCTTGCGAAGCCGATCCTCAGGAACCCAGTCGTCCCAGCTGCGATGCGTTAGCTAGCGATCTCAAAAGCAAGCCGCGAGTTTTGGAGTTTTGAGGGGGCGATTTGAGATGATGTTCCGCTGGAAATGTGTAGTAAAGGTGTAGTACGTCGGCATGAGTGAGGTGTATGGTGAGGCAAACGTGACTTCTGCAGTGGGAGACGGAGTGACAAGCAGGCGGTCGCAGACTCGAACGGATCGAAGATACGTACGTGTTCTTCCAGCCCTTGTAGTGGACTCTGTATTCGAAGCCATTCTTCTTGTCTTCTTCTACAGGCCTGACTTCGAGCACCTTGGCCTCGTATAGCAACTCATGGTGGAAACAAAAAACCTTTTCATCTTTCTTGAAGGAAGGCTCCGGCGCAGCTGCGGGCGCCATGATTGCGATGGAATGTGATGAAATTGATGTTGATGGGTTTGGTAGTCAGGAAGGAAGCGGTAAGGGTGTGAGAGATTGCACGTCCACGTAGCGCGTCTTCGTGCCAGCCTTGGTGTTCAACAATAAGGACGATACTTTGCGCCGCAAAACGGGAGTGATGGTTGCCTGGATCCTGGATATAGTCGACAAGCTTGGTGAAAGACGGTTAAGTCGACGTTTGCTTGGAGTCGTCCAGGCACGTCTCACGGGAGTTTTCTGGGCACGGACCACAACGCGTCGTCGCGCGTTCCGATGGCCCTCCTTCATTGGCGCATCCACCACCAACACTGCCGTATCAATCATATACGTGGGCACTGTCCGGCCTGAAATCGACATCTACTACTCTAATCATGCCGTCGCAAGAGGCCAAGATCCTCGGTGACTTCCTCCTTGCACCTGCTCCCTTGCGCGACTTCACCACCCTACGCGACTTCACCGACATCTTCCCCCGCGCCCACCGCTCCAACCCCGCCGTGCAGGAGATCTATCGCGAGCTTCAGCACATACGCGACAGGGAAATCGAGCTGATTCGCCAGGACATTATCGATGAGGTCAGACGGTCCAAGCAGCTGAGGCGGGAGTACGCTCGGGAAAGACGCCACGTAGACGATGCAACCGTCGCCGGACTGGACCCGATTGCGCTTCAAATGGAGCAGGAGGTACCCAACATATGGGAAGAATGCCAAGATTTGCGCTGACAATCACCAGCTCTCCGACCAAAGTCGCAAGAAACCGCACACGCTACAGACGGTCCACTCCGACATTGAAGAAGCATGCCAAACCCTCGAGGCCCAGATCGCAGAGATAGAGCAAGAGAACCGACGAGCGTTGGCTGAAGTTCAAGACGTTGTTGGCGCCCTCAGTGAGCTGCGACATGGCCGCTTTGCACCGTCGTCCAGCGGAGAAAACATTGGAGAAGAAGTCATGGCCACGCTCAAGCAACTTGAAGCTGTGTGCGATAAACCGGCTGGATGAGAATTGCGAATATCCGAGCATCGTCGTGACGAATGCACTGTACAAACATGAGGACCATGCTAGCGGTCGAAAGGTTCAGTCTTCGACTTGGATCACACACTGCCTGAGCTGGTAAAATTGCGCATTACCGCCCAAGGCTATCGACCGCAAAACGAGGTTACGCTTGCGCAGTTTTTATGCCGGTCAGGGAAGTAGTATGTCTACAGAGACGCCACTCTTCAATCGTTGACAGGAACAACACCAGCACTAGGACAAGGGATCCAGATCATCCCCGTAGATTTGGATCAAAGGATATCCTGCGACGTATCGCAGCACGTCGCAGTGCTTCCTGTCCACACCCGAATCATTACCAAGGCTATGTATCTAGGATAAAGTGAGCGCACAACGTAGCTGCCACTCCCATCCGCCGGACTTGCGCACAACGACTCTGATACATGGTTTCATCCGATCCTCATCGCGGCAAATATCATACCATAACATCTTGCCAATACCCGATGCGACGCTTGATGTGCTCATTCTCCGGTGCATCAACCACGCGTCTGTATCCCCGTTAGCCAGGACCATCACGAGCACAAGACAGCGTGACAAACCCAGTACGAACTCCAGAAAACATACCCTGTCAACTTCCATCATCCCGCCGTCCAAGTTAGCGACCCGCGTATACTGCCTGCAAGCACGCCGTGATTGGCTGCACGCACCACCGCAATTAATCTATCCATATGAACATTGTCAATCCCGCAAGTATCAACATCTAGTCCGCCGTTACAGAGATCTGTCTATAGCCAAACTTCTACACGTGTTCAGATCAGGATGATTGTCTTATACCGCGTCGCAATGCAATTCCTTTCCGTTGTCTTGTCGTCCATGCCATATTCGCAAAGATGCTCCTCCCATCTATCCTAACACTATTATTGTCCCTCATCACCTACTCTCCCCTCGCATCCGCCTCCACCTCCTCCTCCCTTAGAATAACCTCCGACAACCACTCCTTCGGCGGCGTAAACTACCCGCAACTCCAATTCTTCACCCCCACCCACCGCGACGCCACAATCCGCGAAATCCTCAAAAGCGGCGCCCGCATAATCCGGCTCTTCATCCGCCCAGATGCCCAACACCCAGATCCAGAAGGCGAGATAGGCGGCTTCGACAAGTCGCTGCTCGACCAATTCGATGACACGCTAGCAGCCATTCACCATTTGTCCAAAGGCCAGATGAAAGTCATCATCGCACCACATGACGCACATGCGCTTCGGGGTACAAACGACGTAGCCTGCGACGCCTACTGCCAGAAACTCGACGGCGCGTTCTTGGATTTCTACAGCAACGACGAATATCGCGACATGTACAAAACACGCCTCAGCGTCTTCTTCACACACTACCCCTCCAAGAACTTTGACGGTCGTTCCTGGAGCACACTCTCCGAAGTCATTCTCGGCGTCGACCTTCAAAACCAGCCTTTCTCTGGCATCTCACCCATCCCATCCGGCGAATCCTGGCTTTGTGACATCGCCTCCTATCTAAAATACAGCATCGGTCTCGACGCATCCAACATCGCCGTCATCAGCGGCGGCGTCTCAGGCCCCCAGTCCATTTCCGGGACTGAGAATTTTCCGGATTCAGTGTTTGACTGCAAGGCTATTGATGTTATTGGTATACATGGGTATTTCGATAAGAGGACAGATAGCACGGCGGGGACGGCGTGGGCGGATTTGTTTCTACCCGGCAATACGTTGATGGGGCGGGCGGAGGGGAGGAAGAAGGGGGAGGGGAAACTGTTGTTGGTGGAGGAGTGGGGGTATGTGCATAGTGAGGTGTTTGGGTTGTTTTATAAGAGGGAGGCGGTTTGGGATGGGGGGAATGTGCTGAATTATAGGGGGATTCCTTGGGTATGTTTGTCTTCTATTTCCTGCCTTCCTCCCTTTTTTACTGTTTGTGGTACTGAAGACGTGCTATACCGTACTAACAACCCCTCCCCCAGCTATACTCCCACCTAACCCCCCTCTCCGAAGGCAAATCCTCCCGCATAAACCCCCTCCACCCCACCTACACAACCTGGCCCGCCCTCGCCTCCATCCTGCGCCACGCTTTCACAACCCGCAGCCCCTTCTCCTGGTCCAAATACCTCCCCGCCCCCTACCACATCCTCGCCCCCTCCGCCGACGAAACCACAGAAGCATACCTGAGGTCCATGCTCACCGGCTCCCCCGCAACCAAAGAATGGAAGCTGGAACCAGCGGGCCTGTCTAACGTCACGAGTGTGCGGTTGAATCCGTATATCATCGAGCAAAGCGAGTGTACATTCGGCTGCGTGGGCCATTTATGTGACGCAGCGGATGGCTGTAGCCCGGATTTGATATGTAAGAACAGCATATGCCAAACCAACCCCTCCTCGCAGCCAGGGAAAGTGGGAGACAGATGCAACAGCAAGGCCGTCTGTCAGAGCCATTTACGGTGTGTGGAGGGCGAGTGTGCGGCTTGTATTGCACGGATGACCATCCAACCGGAAAAAGACAAGAATAGGAAACGAACGATCCCAGGAGACAGCGGGATGCAGCAAGAGGAAGAGGAGGAATATAGGAGGAGGTATGCGGTTAAGCCGAATGATCCAAAAGGGACTTGTTATACAGATTCCCTGCCTCACCTCTTCGCCATCGCCTCCCTTGCCAGCACCACCTCTTCCCCTTCCCCACCACCAAGCCCGCCGATATGTCTCTCCCCCTCTCACCCTCCAAACCCCAACCCCTGCACAACACCCACCCACTGCTCCGCCTCCCAATACTGTTCCTGGGGCCTCTGCACACCCTGCTCCGCAACAGACGCCTGTCTCGGCAGTCCCTGCCGCAGCAACAACGCGTGTAAAACAGGTTTCTGTAACGATTACGGGAGATGTGATTATGCTACGCAGAGGAGAAAGAAGGTCACGGGGCCGGGGGGCGCAAGGGGAAAGGTGGGGAGGGTAGCGGGGGTACCCAAGGGACATGAGAGGGGGCCTGCGAGGGTGAGAGATGAGGCGTTGAGGGTTGTGATACCAGAGGAAGAAGAGGAAGGACCGGCTGCTACTGCTACCGCTGCGGCGTGAAGTCCATCATCATCACATCAACTATGTAGCGTGGTATAAGAGCGTACTTTGCAAGGCACGGCAAAAAGACCAGTCCATCTGAATATAGATATATCCTCAATCTCGAACGAAAATAAATTCCTCAGCGCTTAAATATTTACAAGAAGATTATTTTCATACTAGTTAGTGTGTTTGGGGTATCGTATCGAATGGCCTCCCTCCATCCCTCCCTCCCTTCCTCCCTTTCCCAAAACTCCTTTTTGTTGATTGGTAATCTGTAGCACATGTACAATCATGGGATCGCGCCGTCATGACCTCGTAGAACGCATGCGCGTGAGTGTGATTCATGTCTGAGACGGGGGTCGTGGCTCCAGGCGGGGGCGTTGTTCGAGGAACTACCGTTGCGGTCGTCAGTCGGGTCTTCGTGCTAGGAGGTCACAAAGCGTGTGCCGGTGACAGGTAACTGTCGGGTCCACTGCAAGTGGCTATCCGGCAGATCACCCCATCGAAACCCGATACTTGTCATTCTCCTCAATCAGCTTCTCCAAAAACGCCGCCGCCTCAACAAGAACCTGACTCTTACTCAGCCCGCCACCCCTTACAGCAGGCACAACCTCATTCAAATCCTTGTACCCCTGCTTGATCAAATCCCGCCGCTTCTGCTCCGACAAAATATGATTATTCCGCTTCTGTTCCTCAGTAAGATTCTCGCGATGTGCCTTCTGAGCCGCAGTGGATGCCCGCTTTTTCTTCGTACTGTCTTCCACCGTAGATGCTTTTCGTGCTTTGCCATTGCGCGCGGCTTTCTTGGGTGTGTCTTTGCTATATCGCACCTGGCTCTTTTTCCGCTTCTTCGTCGGCCGGTCTTCGTCTTCGTCGTCGGATTCGGCGTCGTCGGATTGCGAGGCGGAGTCTCGTGGCCCGCGAGTGTAGGTGGTAGGGGTACTTGGTCCTTGTATGCCGGCTACGGCTCGGAGGATGTGGTGCGAAGTCTCTTCAATGTCTTGTATTGATGCCCTGGCTGCGCTCTCTGCGTCCGGGTGGCCGTTGGGTATTGAGTAGCCGGACGGGCTGTTGAAGGAGTTGTCGGTGCCGAAAGTATACGACCTCTTCAAGTCGAGCTTCTGCAGCGGTGGGCCGAATTCGGAGTGGTGTTGTTGTGGTGCCTGGCTCGCTGCCCATTGTGAAGCATACTGTGTGTCGTTGGGTTGAGAATTGTGGTTGGGAACCAATGATCCCAAGCGTTCGTGTATGAGGCCGTGTTGGGGCATTGTCATGGGCAGCGTGTTGAGATTCAGATCGGGGGCCCTGCTCGCATCGAAGCCGTTGGAGGCGGTAGACAGCTCATGGAAGCTGTGCGAGCGGCCATTCGTGTATGAAGGCTGGGCCTGGTTGAAGAGAGCCGTGGCTGCCTGGAGCTCATCCTGTGTATTGCCTAGGAAATCTGTGTGTAGCGACGAAGGGTATTGCTGGTCTTGGTGGAAGTTGTTCTGCAGCCGAGCCTGGTCTGGTATAGTGCTGGTCACGCGGTGGACGGTGGGCGGGGCTATAAAGTCTTCCCAGTTGTTGTAGTCGTGGGCGCTCGCCTTTGTGTCGAGGGCGGGTGGGAGGGCGGCCGCGTCGACGAGGTCAAAGGGATTGGTCGAGGAGAAGAAGTTGTCGAGCTGCTGGTTCTCCATGTCGCTGAGGATGGACTGGCCATTGTGGTCGTAGGTGGCGGGCGGGCCGTCGAAGAAGTCGTTGGTGAAGGTGTCTGCTCTGCGTCAGTGAGTAGTCTCGGCGCGGCGGTCGGCAAGCGTACAGCCAAACGGAGGCGGGTCCTTGTCGTTCATGGCGGGTCGTGGGAGGCGCCTGGCCGTAGCACCCGCGAGCCCCGCGAACGACTGATGCGACAACGTCTCCAGCTTGGTGGTGGGTGAGGCCGAGGGACAGACTGCTGTCT